CACCAATCAGGTCTGTATGGTAGAGTGCCAACAAAATTTCAATGAAGTACTTTTACAACAACTCTGTGAATGTCATTGTGTGGCCCAGCCTCAGCCCAGACTTAAATCTTATTGAACATCTCTGGAGACGTCTGAAAATGGCTGTACACCGTCACCTTCCATCCCACTTCTAAAATTCCAAAAGACAGGTATGCAAAGCTTGTGGCATCATATTCGAAAAGACTTGAGGCTGTATTTGCAGCCAAAGGTGCATTAACAAAGTGTTGAGCAAAGGTTGTGAATACTGATGTACATTGATTTTTCAGGTTTTGTATTTTATAAATTTGCAACAATTTAAAAAAATATTTTTCACAATGTTATTATGGGGTATTGTGCGTAGGATGCTGAGAAAATAAATGAATTTAATCTATTTTGAATAAACCTGTAAGAAAAAAAAAAGTGGAAAAAGGTGAAGCTCTATGAATACTTTCCAGATGCACTGTAGGGTTTTTCGCATTGTTCGGGGACGCCTTATCCCCCGGCCCCCTAAGTGACCGCTTACCTTGCTTATTGGTTAAGTCCGCCCCTTAGAATATGTGTGTATGTATGTATGTATGTATGTATGTATGTATGTACTGTTGAAGTCAGAATTATTAGCCCCCCTAAATTATTAGACTGCTTGTTTATTTTTTCCCTAATTTCTGTTTAACGGAGAGCAGATTTTTTCAACACATTTCTAAACATAATAGTTTTAATAACTCATTTCTAATAACTGATTTATTTTATCTTTGGCATGATGACTGTAAATAATATTTTACTACATATTTTTCAAAACCCTTCTATACAGCCAAAATTGACATTTAAATGCTTAACTAGGCTAATTAGGTTAACTAGGCATGTAGTCGTTGTTGGTGTGGTAATATCAGTAGTAGATGTTGTTGATGTAGATGTAGAAGAAGTGATTGTGGTAGTAGTAGCAGTAGATGTTGTTGTATTAGTTGTAGCAAACGCTATAGTAGTATCAGTAGTGGTAGTCATTGCTGTAGTAGTATCAGTATTAGTAGACATTGTAGTAGTAGTAGTCGTGGTTGTGGCTGTAGTAGAAGCAGTAGTAGTTGTAATATAAGTAACTTTCTGTAGTAGTAGTTGGTGTGGCACTTGTGATTTATTATTATTGTCAGTTATCATTACCGTTGTCCTTTCTTTCTTTTTACTTTCATTTTTACTATCATACATTAATAAGCATTGTTGTTACTCCCTACCTCTGACTGGTTACTTTCTATATGTTTTATTTATATCTGACACAACATTTATTGACTGTTATTGTTCCTTATGTATGTACTCTGACCCGTTCACCAAGTTACCTTTACATGCATACACACGCACACTCTCGCACATACCAGTACCTGACTATATTGTTGTTGTTTTTTTTTTTTTTTTTTTTTTGCTTTGTATTTGTTATTTGTTGATGTTTTCTTGTATTTGTATGATCTATGCATTTTCTAATAAAAAAAAATAAAAATAAAAATAAAAACTAGGCAGGTTAGGGTAATTAGGCAAATTATTGTATAATGATGGTTTGTTCTGTAGACTATCGAGAAAAAAAAATAGCTTAAAGGGGCTAATAATTTTGTCCTAAAATGGTGTTTAAAAAATTGAAAACTGCTTTTATTCTAGCCTAAATAAAACAAATAAACTTTTTCCAGAAGAAAAAATATTATCAGACATACTGTGAAAATTTCCTTGCTCCTGTTAAACACAATTTGGAAAATATTTAAAAAAGAAGAAAAAATGTGAAGGGGCTAATAATTCTGACTTCAACTGTATGTATATATATGTATATATGTATGTATGTATGTATGTGTGTGTGTGTGTATATATGTATATGTATATATATATATATATATATATATATATATATATATATATATATATATATATATATATATATATATATATATATATATATATATATATATATATATATATATATATATATATATATATATATATATATATATATATATATATATATATATATATATATATATATATATATATATATATATATATATATATAAGGATATGCCATTAAAAATTTAGTATGAGGAATAGATATTAATTATAAACTATGATTTTTTCCCTCAATAATATCTTAATTTGCTGGTTTAAATTTTCATACATTTACTTATAGTTAGTAAGGTAGTTATAACAAAGTTTAGTTATGGAATAGGATTCACAGATTTCAAATATAGTCATACAGTACTAATAAATAAGCCATATGCAAGCTAAGAAGCAACAAGTATTCTTTTTTATTTATTAATTCTCAATGTATTAAATAGAAGTTTTCATGTTTGAGTATAAACTATGGTGCACACACACACACCAATAAGCACAGTAATCAGCATTTGTTTGTGAGCCAGTGCTGATCTGTGCAGGTGTTTATGGGTTTCCTAAAATAAAAGGAGGGTAATTGTAATGCGGACTGAACATTTGCTGCACTGTGTGATACTGGCAGCACAGAAATACATTGCCGTGGCTTGTGTGTTACGCTTTATATGAAGAAAAGCTGTGTTTTCACCATCACCTGATACATCAAAGCCATTTACAAATGGATCCTCAGTCTTTGGAGTTTTATAATACATATAAGCTACAAGTTTCATTTCTGTGTCCCCGACATTGCTCTGGTACCATAATATGGTGTCATAGCTTTTGATTCCATGGCTGCATGTCAGGTTAACTGTACTGGGACTGTCAGTATCACACACCACTGCAGGTGGAGACTGATGGACGTCTTTGCACAAAACACATGCTGTAAAAAGAGAACAAAAGTGATTCTTTGTAACAAGACAGTTCAACATCTGAATTCTCAAAACTGATATATTAATAATAAATGTACCTGTTAGAAAAAGTACCCTAATAACCTGGATAGCGAGGCAAGACATCATGTTGGGTTTTCAACTGCTCTGAGCTGAACAGAGAGCATTTCTTGAGGTCAGGAAATGACATCACAAACCACAAGGCTGTCATCACAGGCTTCTGCTATGAGTTATTTTAAATCCAGGATTGTTTTAATGAACAGTAGCTTTACCTTAAATTTCTAATTTAAAGCATCAACATAAAGTATAAGAAGAAATGAAGCAGACTTGATAACTTAATACTTTATAAAAGTTGCAAAATTACTAATAATCAACAGAATGTCAAAAAAAGGAAAAAGTGTATCCTAAGGTTGCAGTAATGCAAGTAATATCTTAAGCTACAAATTTGTATTTGTCAAAGTATACTTATATATATATATATATATATATATATATATATATATATATATATATATATATATATATATATATATATATATATATATAGAATCGTCATATATGCAACACATACCTGCCAACATTCCGATTATAAAATCCGGGAGATTTTTTCCAGGGGTCTGTTCGAAGTGAAGAGCGGGGTGGTGCGCCCAAAGTGAAGCGGGGGGGTGATGGGGGGGGGGGGGGTAGCTGGTAGATGAAGATGGTTGCGTGTTGGGTTCGCGCATATGGACTGAACCGAGCAGGGGGGTTGGTGGAATTCTGTGAGTTTCCGAGAGCTGAGCCCTTTTTCACTTTATTTCTACATATCACTACTGAAAGTATGCAAAATTCCTGCGGGAGCACTCATAACGCTCCAATACCCACCACCACTGCACCTCTGCAACAGCTGAGACACTCTGCTGAGCTACACTCACCCATTGCACCATGCAACAGCAGTGGCGTTCTAGCTGAGCCCTTTTCACTTTCACCTCTACATATCACTACTGACAGTATTAAAGCACTCATAACTCTCCAATACCGACCACCACTGCTCAGCGGAGCTGTTGCAGAGGTGATCCGTTAAGCTACCTTCACCAATAGCAACATTGCAACAGCAGTGATGCTATAGCTGAGCCCTTATTCACTTTATTTCTACATATCACTACTGACAGTATTTAACATTCCTGCGGGAGCACTCATAACACTCCAATACTGACTACCACTGCACCTCTGCAACAGCAGAGAAGCTTCACGGAGCTTCTTTTCCCCTCTGCACCACTGCAGCGGCAGTGACACTCTGCCTGAGCTTACACATACTTCCATTTAACATACCACTACTGACACACTCCCCAGCACTGCCGCAGCAGTTTAAATGCCTCCACGGAAGCTTATTTACCTGTTAATATTGACTTCCATTGCTCCTCTGCTACTGCAGAGATGCTTCACTTAGCTTAAATTCTCCTCTGCACCACTGCCGCAGCAGTGACGCTCTGCCTGACCTTATATACACTTCCATTTACCTATACTATTACACTCCCCAGCACTGTCACAACTGTTAAAATGCCTGCGTATGAGTTTTTTAATATTGGTTTCTATCGCACCTCTGCAGCAGCAGTGATGCTCCGCTGAGCTTATCCTGACATTTCATCACTGTCATTTTAAGAGTCTCTCTAGCAGGTCTCATATTCAAATTATTACATCTGTCAAACTTTCCCATCCAGCCACGGCAGTTAAGCACTGCTACGGGAGCACACAACGTTTGCAACATCGGCTGCCAATACACCACTTCAGTAGTAGTAATCACTCTAACCTAAACCATTCACACTCTGTAGCGGTTCCATCTTTGCTCCAGCAAACCCTCTTTTGGATCCATCTTTATAACACCAGCCGGTTATGGCTTTAATCTTTATTGCCTTTTGGGGGGTTCTTGAATACGCGGCTGCTGTCCCAAGCTTATTACGGCATCTTGGGGAGTTCTCGAGATCTACCTGAGCTCAAACTCCCCTCTTGCCTTGCAAACGGGAGGCAGCCTTGTTTCATTTTGGGAATTATTTAAAAGAGGAAGAAAAAAATCAAAGGGGGGCTAATAATTCTGACTTCAACTGTATCTCTCTGTTTTGGTTTCATGCAGGTGTGTCGTGATACTTTAAACTAAAGAGCACCTTTTTGTCATGAAAGAAACAGCATTTATGGCATTGTGCATAAGAAGCTGCACAAAAATACTCTGCACTGTCCTGATCCAGTCTTGCTTTGAGAATCCTTAATGTAGCTTCCTCTTCTCCATTTCCAGTTACGTTGAAATGACCCATATATGATTTCTCAATGTCCTTCGCGCTGCTATATCGAGCATAGCCGATGAGCTTCAGACTAGAATCTCCCTTTGACTTCTGATACCACAATATTGTGTCATAGTTATCTATGTTATGACTGCAGGTCAGCTCTACGGAATCATCAGGTTTACACAACACATCTGGAGGAGCCTGATGAACCTTCTCGCAAATCAGACAGCCTGTGAATTCAAAGATATACAATTACTAATGCATTTCAATGTATTTTATCTTTCATATTATATATATATATATATATATATATATATATATATATATATATATATATATATATATATATATATATATATATTCCTGTTATTTACCTATAAACCAATTGAGGAAAAAACATATTTTGGAGACAAATCTAGTCATGTTGGTCGATACTCGTACTTGAAGAGTCCTTCTAAAGTTTTCTATAGCAGCAGAGTTAGACACAGGAAGTGACATCATGTTAAAATGGGCGGGATATCTCATCCTAAAAAAAGATATAACAATTTTATTAGCTATGAGTTCAGTAAGCGTTATTTTTCTTTAGTTTTTTTGGTCATTTTATTTTGTTTTCTGCTTTATTGTTGAGGTCTTTCATATGCTATTGATTTCACAACTACATGTACAAGTCAACAAGCAGTCACTAGATGTTTAATAAATTCTGCCAATTAAACTCTAACAATATGCTACTAATACTCTCATAAATGTTAGCTGACACAACTAAAGTTGACAATCAGATTATAGTTTTTAAGACTAGCTGGAGCACCAACAAGGTCTTCTAGATGGCACTCCATCCTGTCACCTGTCACATACTTCCATACTATATAGTACGCTGAAATCAGTATGCGAGCCGAGAAGTATGTCCGAATTCATAGAATTCGAAAATCAGTATGCTAAAAAGTACCAAGATGACCTACTATTTCCGGCGAGAATCTGAAGTGCGCATCATATGAACGCTGCGCTATCCCATGATGCCCGGTGAGGAAATTAATGAATGGGAGTGAAGCGACGCAAATGACGCAGGTAGGTCATGTGACCATGACAAAATGGCGGATGTAGTATATCTGAATTCCATTCATACCTTTCACATCCATACTGTTTAGAACGTACTTTTATAACGGCCGAGTAGTACGTTTAAATTCAAATGCATTACCTACTGAGTAATAGGCAGATTCGGACTCCATGCAGCCATGGACTCCATTTCCTACAACTCTGTGCTGATTACTGTTCCACCTGTGTCCCATTACCTGGACAACTTGAAGTCAGCATGACTTCATGGCTAAAGCTGCGGTCACACTAGAGTTTGTGCGGAATTCTGTCGTATGGCACTGCGAAAAGGGGCGGGATTAAACAAGATTATTAGACATTAAAAAAGCGAGTCATTTATCCATATTTAAAATTTCTGTACAGAGAGTTTTGATCCTTGATTGGTCTAACACAGTCACATCATGTGATTTCGCAGTTCAGAGTTCACTAAGCTTCCAACGCAGTGGTCTGCTGAACTTGACGCACAAGCTTGCATTTCCGGTCCGACACATTTGCGTGCGTATGAATAGAAGTCTATGTGGAGAAATGTCCCGTTTGACCGCAGCTTGAGTTTGTCCTTTTCTTGTCTTGTTGTATGTTATTGTGAAGTACATCCAATTGAAAAGGTCCTTAAATAAGAAAAAAATGTAGGGACGTGCATGATTTCATACTCGGTCCCGGTCATTCCCCTCGCTGGCCAGCAGAGGCCACCATCTCCGGACTTTTAGCATTACATCATCCATTTACACTGATTGCGCAGACACCTGATCTCAATCTGGTTAACGACCCACGCACCTCTTATAAGCCTCACTCAAACACTCAGTCAGTGCGAAGTCTTGTTCATCCCCGGCCAGCATTACTGAGCGTTATCTCCAGCCTGATCTCTTGTGTACGACTCCAGCCTGTCTCCTACTTTGCTTTGCCTTCTGCCTGCCCACGACCCACGCTTGTTATACAGACTCTGACTCTCTCTGCCTGCCCACGAACCACGCCTGTTATTAGGACTCTGATCCTTGCTGCCTGCCCTCGACCCAAGTCTGAACAACGGACTCTGATTCTCGCTCTCTCCCCTCCACTCATGCCTGGTAACTCACTCTGTGTCTGTTCATCACCATTCTTGTTACCCATACTACTACTGGGGATGTGTGTGTGCACTCCGGTGCATATTGTGTGTTTGAGTGAAGTTGTGATTAATAAATACCGCATAATGGATCCCTCCGTGTCAGTCTCCTCGTTACATTTGGAAGATGGCCGTTGTGAGTAAAATAGAGGAAGATTTTATGAATGAGTTTGTACGGAGGAGTACTGTCCAACAGAATCACTCTCTGGTGCAGAAAGTTTGTAGATGCACGATAATGACAAGAACAAGGATCCCAATTTTACAGACAGAATGATGTCGTATTAACTCAAACCACTGCTGCCCACAAATGCAGAGAAAAAGAAGACACCAGAAGAGAAGAAATGTCATTTTGAGGGTCCCTCATCCCTGATCTCTTGCCTATTTTCTGGGATATTCTTGTGTATTACTTCGGACACTTTTGTATGCTAGTGTTTTGACCCTGCCAGTTCTCACTGCTCTACTAAAGACTGCATGTTGATCCTCAACTCCATTGTCACACTCATATGTTAAACAAGTGTCACCATATGCTTGGTTGTGACGTTTTCTAGAGTATCTGATGTGGTCTTTTTTTGCAGGTGCTTTAAGGATAATAGTTTTTGTCATGGAACAGACAGCATTTGTGGCATTGTGCATAAAACGCTGCGCAAAAATACTCAGCACTGTCTTGGTCCAGTCTTGCCTTGAGAAACTTTAAAGTAACTTCCTTTTCTCCACTTCCATTTAAGCTGAAATGACCATCATATGGATCCTCAAATTTTTTTACACTGCTATATTGGGCATAGCCGATGAGCTTCAGGCTAGAATCTCCCTTTGACTTCTGATACCACAATATTGTGTCATAGTTATCAATGTTATGACTACAGGTCAGCTCTACAGAATCATCAGGTTTACACAACACATCTGGAGGAGACTGATGAACCTTCTTGCAAATAAGACAACCTGTGAATCCAAATAAATACACATTATGATGACTTTTGAAGCCTTTTGTAGACTTTTGTAGCTCTTAAATTAAATTATAATTATGTTAAGGCTATGATGATACCTGTTAACCAGTTCAAGAAAAAAAATATTCTGAAGACAAATGCAGTCATGCTGAGAGGTATTGTACTTATGCCAGTGGACCACTACTGAGGTCTTCAGTAAAACAGAAACAGGATGTGATGTCATGTTGAAATGGGTGGAATATCACATACCAAAACAGGGTATGATAATTCTCATTCATTCTATTTTTTTTTTCCGACTTAGTCTATTTATTAACCTCGGGTCGCCACAGCAGAATGAACCGCCAACTTTTCCAGCATGTTTTTATGCGGCGGATACCCTTCCAGCCACAACCCATCTCTGGGAAACATCCACACACACACTCATTCACACGCATACACTACGGACAACTTAGACTACCCAATTCACCTGTATGGACTGTGGTCTGCATGTCTTTGGACTGTGGGGGAAACCGGAACACCCGAAGGAAACCCACGCGAACGCATGGAGAACATGCAAACTTCACACAGAAATGTCAACTGACCATGGCCGAGGCTCGAATCAGTGACCTTCTTGCTGGGAGGCGAATGTGCTACCCACTGCGCCACCGCATTGCCACAGCTTAAATTAAAAATAATATCAAATTCTAAAACCTATTGTACTTATTGTATTTAAATGAATAAAACCGCTTTGCTTCTAACGATCTCCTCGTGTACATTTATTAGGCAAAAACACTATTTATTTTAGATTCACTATTTTACTGCGCTCCTATCGGTTTTCTCAAATAGAGCCTTTTTTCAGTACAGAGTTAAGACAAATGAATTATAGGTACCAGCTTCAAGGTTAGTATTTTTAAAGAGCCCCTTTTGTGGGTTTTTGAGAATGACCTTCCATTAAGTGTGTAACACAGCTCTAAGCGAAGTGAAATATCCAGCTAAGGCTTAAATCTGTAAGTGTACAGTGTTTAAAACTATTGATTCATAAGAGTCGACTCAGTGCTTCAAATGAATTGTCTTGATAACGAGTCTTGAGCCGTTTCGGCGTGACATCGATACAAAACTTAAGACCCACCCAATTGTTGTGCTCGTAAACGCGGGAAAATTGAAACCTGCGGCCCCGCCTACAAACAGTAGCAAAGAAAAAGAATACAAACAGAAGACGGACTGGCAGCTAGCTCTCTGCAACTCTCACATGGTCGCCCACTGAAGCTAACGGGGACTCTATACTGCTCAGTGAGCGGCGTCTTTCGGATGAGACGTTAAACCGAGGTCCTGACTCCCTGTGGTCATTAAAAAATCCCTGCCCACTGGCTTTTGTCCATCATGGCCTCCTAACCATCCCCATATCATAATCACTCTGTCTCCTCTCCACCAATCAGCTGGTGTGTGGTGTGCGGTCTGGCGCAAAATGGCTGCCGTCGTTTCTTCCAGGTGGATACTGCACACTGGTGGTGGATGAGGAGATTCCCCCCTATGTGTAAAGCGCTTTGAGTGCACAGAAAAGCACTATATAAATGTAAGGAATTATTATTATTATAAACACTGTAGCATATCGCGGTTGATTCAAGTCATGAAGGCGCTGTGCTCAGCTGGATATTATAAGAAGTGCGAGGGGAAAGTGAGTGTTATTTTCTTTACACAAAGATGAAATGTGAAGAGTCAGTGATTGAGGTTTATGATTACCTCAGCATTATAGCTCAGCCTTGTGCTGTTTTTCTGGATTCGTCGGCCATTTGTTAAGGGAAGGATCAGAAAACACTATTGATGTATGAGACTTTGAAAGAGCTTGACAGAAACTTTACTAGTACATGGATTAGTGGATCATGAATCAGTTTCTTCCTCCATTTTACAAGTGTAAGTAAGTGCGATTAAAATGGTTGCCACCTTGTTTTCTCTAGCTTGCAAATTATGTACTTAATTGCTTTGTTACTGTAACTACAGTACTGTAACTACTGTAACTACTAGTGTATCTGGTTAACGCTTTATATTCTCATATCCTGTCTAATGCCACGTTGAAAACGTGCCGTGTTCCACTTTGTTTACTGATTTCAATGTGTTTGAGCTTTCTTTCCACTGCTGTTTGTCGTTGCTATGGCCACCGTCAGCTGTTCTTACACATGTGAAGCGGTCAAGGTTCAAACTAGTTCATCTTTTGCCACTGTGTGTATAATACTGAATGTGTGTCATGGTTAAGAATATAAAGCATTGCTTTAGTGCAGTCCTGCATTGGACTCACACACACACCTGCCAGCATAAATCCCTGAAAATCTGAGAGACTAGGGGGTTAGGTTCGGGGGTGAGATGTCTGAGTAACACTGTTGAGAACCGGGTACTGTTTACTGTGGGTTCACACGAACAGCACGGGTGCGAACGGCACCCACGAGAGACATTTGAGGTACAAAAAAAGCGCACACAGCGGCCTCTCGTGGATTCGCAAAAACAAAAACTGCAACAATACGTACCTCCCGGGACATATTTAGCAGTGTCCAGAAACGTCAATGGGACTATATTTTCAGAATGAGCCTGGGTTCGTTTTTGAGCTATTTAATTTGAGGAAGTTAAGAGAGAGCCAGGATTTGATTTCTGCTGAGCAGACTGTAAGGGATGAAGGTGGAAAATAAGAAGAGGGTTTGCCGGAGAGATAGAGCTGGGTGTCATCCGCATAGCAATGAAATTGTATGTTATATTTATGGAGGATATTACCAAGTGGAAGAAGATAGATGATAAAAAGCAGGGGCCCAGGACTGAGCCCTGGGGTACACCCCAAGAAACTGTAAAATGCTGAGAAGTGAATGATTTGAGTTGAATGAACTGAGTGCGGCCATAGTGTATGTTAAAATTATGTAAATTAACTATTTCAAAGTCTAAATCAGTTCTACAGATAATAATGCCATTATTCGTTTTAATTGAATGTTGAATCAGTTCTATAAACCACAATAAATGTTCAGTTCAGCTGGAAGCAGCTCTACAGAAGGCAACAGTGTTAGTTCAAGTAAATGTGATGTTGATTCATTTAAAGTGTCAGTGTTGCACATTCTAACACCATTGAAGACATTATCCAGAGCTGCATCTCATCTCTTCGTATCATCTTAAGCGTCTCTTGTGCAATCCAGCTTGGCTTGAGCGCTTGAGAGAGATGCATGAAAGATTATGGGCTTTTTGTATGGCTTTTGGGAGGCCCTCAGCACTGTGTGCACTAGCTGCACAGAAATAAACTGCGCTGTCATTCAGCAAGAGCTTCGAGATGATCAGAGTCACAGAACTCTTGCCATCTCCGTTCAGCTCATATCGTTTATCTTCTACATTCTCCAGAGTGTGAGAAGAATGGAAGGAATATCCAATACTGTGCATGCCCTGGCCGTCCTCGTGCTGGTAGTACCACAGTATGGTGTTGTAGCTGGTGATACCGTGAGAACAGGAGATATTGCAGGACTCTCCGGATCTCACAATGAGTAAAGCGGGAGTTTGCTCAACGCTGCTGAACAGTGAACAGCCTGTTATCAAAATAAATAAGCACATTATTTGTATTGCACACTGTAGGGAAAAAAAACAATAAATGTTGCATATGATGCACTTACCAAAATGCCAGCAGAACAAATATGAATACAGAAATTGATTTCTGATCATTGTCAAGTGTTTGTAGAGCAGTAAGAGTTGGCTACAGATAAACAATGTTGCCTGAATTTGTTGTACGATCCCTCTTTCACAGGCCAGATGTCCCTCCTTCTGCTTCTTTTGTGGAAGTGTTGCAAAACAGCACCACCTATTGAAAAGACAAATCCTCAATGTTAGTTCAGTGCTGTTTTAAACATCTTACAAGGTAAATATTTTATTAATTTAACCATTATTAGAAATGGAAACTTTAAAAAGAAGTCTTGTCAGATTAATAACAAAAAGAACGACTTTGTTAGATTTCATGGAGGAATTATTTTCTGGTACTGATCCCCCGCAGTAATCACTGACTGTGTCCCATTGTTTTCATTACTAGATCTATCCATCCATCCATCCTTTAGGTTTTTGTAATTCTGGATGTAGTTTTTTGTATTTATTGTAACGATATTGGATATATTTTGTGTCTAAATTTGTAGTAATACTTCATGTAATGTTCCAATTCTTATAATAATAATAATAATAATAATAATAATAATAAAAGATTGCTGTACTAGACAATTTACAGTTTGGCATTTGGGGTTAAAAAAATTATTTAGCTTTGATTTTGCAACTATAATTGCTATATTGTTATACATATTGTAGTAAAGAATGTTTGGTACAATGAGTGAAAACTAAATAATAATAGCTAAACAAAAACCTTATAAAAGAATTGCCTGCAAACCATGACTTAATTTCATAATACCTAGGTGAATGGTTGCTCTAAGCATGTTATGTTTAAATCCACAGGTGTCAAACTCAGTTCCAAAAGGGCCGCAGCTCTGCACAGTTTAGTTTCAACCCTAATTAAACACACCTGATCAAACTAATTGAGTCCTTCAGGCTTGTTTGAAGCCTACAGTTAAGTGTGTTGGAGCAGGGTTGGAACTAAACTGTGCAGGGCTTCGGCCCTCCAGGAATTGAGTTTGACACCCCTGTTTTAATCCATTGTTAACTTTAATATGTGGTGTGTTCACTTGTTTTGCAGCAGTTGTAGCAGCACATCTCTCTTGTACAGTATAGTGTAAAAATATTTTATGAGAATCTTATAAACACAATGTTCTGCCAATACCACTGAAACTGAAGCCAAAAGCTTTCCTTTGAATTTTGTAAAGGAACATGATTGTGACATTGACAGTGAAATAGACTTTGCATATTTTTAGATGAAAATCATCTAAATCTCTAAACTTTTAATAATAATAATAATAATTTCTTTTCTGGGCACTCAAAGCGCTTTACACAATGGAGGGAATCCACCACCAGTGTGCAGCATCCACCTGGATAATGCGACGGCAGCCATTTGGCGCCAGTGATGAAGCCAGTTATGATATGGTATGGTTAGGAGGACAGTGGGCAAATTTGGCCAGGATGCCAGGGTAAACCCCTACTCTTTTTCGAAGGACATCCTGGGATTTTTAATGACCACAGAGAGTCAGGACATCAGTTTAACGTCTCATCCGAAAGACAGCGCTCACTGAGCAGTATAGAGTCTCTTTCACTATACTGGGGCATTAGGACCCACACAGACTGCAGGTTGGGCGCCCTTTGCTGGCCTCACTAGCGCCACTTCTGGCAGCAACCTAGCTTTCCCATGTGGTCTCCCATCCAGGTACTGCGCAGCTTCAGTGGGCGACCATGTGAGAGTTGCAGAGAGCTAGCTGCCGACATACTATATTGATTATGATTCTATGTTTTGTAGAGCACATAATCATGATTTTGTAGATATTTATTTCATTGTATTGTAAGTATAATAAGGGCCAATTCACCATAAACAACTCCTTTTTAAAACAATTCAAACTTGTATGAACTTAATAAGTAAATGATAGTTGTCTAATTAAATATGGAATCAATTATTTTATTTATTTTATTTTATTCAACCCTGGTTTTGGTCCTGTGGTGAGTTTCAGGTCAACAGGGATGTTGGGAAGAATACTAAAATGCACAGTTAACCAATCATTAGAATGAAAAGCTGTATTATGCTGTTGGTTTGTGGTAATAACAGACGTTTTTGTTGGCAGATCAAAATGATCTCCAATATTGTGCTTCGCTGGCAGCACAATAATATATAACAGAACTCCCAGATACATTCGGCTCGAAATCAAGAGTAGAGCTTTAAGCACCATTCCCTGTGATGTTGAACCGATTTGTATATTTACTTTCAGTGGATGCACTAGTGTAACGCACAAACCCTATGAGATTTAGTTCACCATCACCCTTTAGCTGCTCATACCACAATATCATGTAATAGCTTTGTATTGTGTGGGCGGAGGTCAGTGTAACAGGTTGGTCACTTATAATCAGCATTTCTGGTGGAGATTGATGGATTTTGTCACATAGTGATTGCCCTGTTTGAAGAAAGAAAAATGCATTAAAATGTTGTAAAAGTAAAGAATACATGAAGTTATCAATGCAAAAAATGATCCTGCACCTGAGATCAATAAGGGTATTACTGTAAAATAAATCTACCAGACTGTTAATATCAAGCTCTGTGTGTTTGCCAGATTGAAATGTCCACAACATATGAACTTGATATGTTAGACTCGACAAATGCTCTTTGGGAAACAAAACCTGTCACTCTTCCTTAAATATGAATAATTTACATCATATTGAAAGGAGACTCCTGCTGGTCTTTATAGAAACGGCGCCACTCCTTGTAGCGAAAAAGTATTCAGCTCTTTAATTAAAGTTTTTCATTAGATTTTAGGGCTGATAATTGAATAATTTACAGTAAATTATCTTGCTGCTCAAGAAATGTCCTTATTTAATTAAACTATTCATTTATATATATATATATATATATATATATATATATATATATATATATATATATATATATATATATATATAAAAGTTATATAACTAAATTATATAATTAACTTTATATATATAACTTTATATATTAACTTTATAAGTTAATTACAGATGTAATTACATGCAGGTATACCAAGCATACGTACAATGTAAAAACATAAATTTACATATAACAGGGTACAGAACACCTTAAGTTGAATTTAATACCTTTTACCACCTTTTTTAAAACCTTAAAAAGTGTTAATACCAGTACAACCTAAAGCTGCAACTGCAGCGGCATAAATGAAATATCTTTTCAAATGGAATAAGATATTTATACCATCAACAATTGCAGATAACATATACATTTAAGTAAAGCAGAGGGATTAATCAAGATCGAGAGTGATTTACATGTTAAGTCAATGCAAAGACGTGAATGAACAGCCTGCAGGATGATACGCGTGAATGAAATGACGCCAGTTGAATGTTTTGCGCGATTTATGTGCTTAACGCACGAATCGCGTTTTACGCAAAACGGTCCAGTTCGAAAATCTGAACTTCAGTGACTTTCGCGCCGTGTTAATCAATCTGGAGCTTACTCTTGTGGGGGGGTGATTATGATGTAGCGCCTGTTGGTGGTGTCCCATCAAACTGGGCTCGGCTCACTCAGAAGCACCGCTGAAAACCTCCATCATCCAGGTTAAGTTTCTGGAGAAGTTTATGAGCTCACAGAGCTGGGTGCACCTCTAAAAGGACATATATATATATACCGTCAAATTCAGAATTATTAGCCCTGTATAAATTTTCGGTCCCACTTTATATTAAGTGTCCTTAACTACTATGTACTTACATCAAAAAAATAAATACAATGTATTTACTGTGTTTAAAATGTTTTTGAGAACACTTGTGGTGCTTTTGAGTTGGGATAGAGGTTGGGTTATGGACAGGTTTGGTGGTATGGGTAGGTTTAAGGGAGGGTTAAGGTGTAAGGGATGGTCAACAGTGTATTTACAAATGTAACTACATAAGTTAATTACAGATGTATTTAAATACAGGTATTTAATCAAGCATAAGTACACAAACATGTATTTACATAATAAGTACATTGTAACAAACTATTAGTTCCTATGTAAGTACATATTAGTTAAGGCTACTTAATATAAATTGGGACCAAAATTTCTTCTTCTTAAAATATTTTCCAAATGATGTTAAACAGAGCAAGGACATTTTCACAGTATGTCTGATAATATATTTTTTTCTGGAGAAAGTCTTATTTGCTTTATTTCGGCTAGAATAAAAGCTGTTTTAATTTTTTAAACATCATTTTATTGACAAAATTATTAGCCCCTTTAAGCTATATTTTTTCTTGACCATCTACAGATTAAACCACTGTTATGCAATAACTTGCCCAATTCCCTAACCTGCCTAGTTAACCTAATTAACCTAGTTAAGCCTTTAAATGTTACTTCAAGCTGTATAGAAGTGTCCTGAAAAGTATCTAGTAAAATATTATTTACTGTCATCATGCCAAAGATCAAATAAATCGATTATTAGATATGAGTTATTAAACTATTACGTTTATTAATGTGTTGAAAAAAAATCTTTTCTTCGATTAACTGAAATTGGGGAAAAAATAAACAAGCGGTCTAATAATTCTGACATCAACTGTATATATGTATGTATGTATGTATGTATATATATATATATATATATATATATATATATATATATATATATATATATATATATATATAAATTAAAAATTAAGATATTACCTCTACATAACTGTTACTCTGGTTTCAAAACGTTTTATTTTATCAGAGTGCATGTAAACAACTAGGATTCACACCGTGAGCAGGAGCATCGCTTGAGGAACTGTTTTCTGCGCACATGCATCAATTTGTTTTGACCAACGTTGTTTCAGTTGCAAATAGACAATAACAAACGTGCACGTGCAAAAGACGCCAAACGTGAATGACCCCTAACGTCTTTATTCCGGGATTAATAAATTAATAATTAATTTACTTGCATAAAGTAAATTGTATCCTGAAGCTTTACTGGGGCACAGCTGATGGATATTTTGCACCTCCCTGTGCCGCCCCCAGCAAGATGCCGGCCTGGGCGATCGATCGCCTATATCTCCCATATCTAAATCCGCCACTGCTACCTTTTACAACCCTGCGGAAACCCTCTATTAATTACATTATATTAAGTAGCTTTAACTAAATTTTATACAAAGTGAGGCCTTGTGCACACACACTGTGAACTGTAACCAGCTTAACTATAGAAATGTT